ATTTCCCATCCCTTGGGATTTAATCTTTCCAGTTTAAATTCCTGTACTGGTCACTTTAATGGCCATTATAATCTATTTCATTGTGTGTGTATACTTGTTCATTTTAATTTCCTCCTAGGAGATTGTAAACATCCAAAGTATGGATTTGGTTTTATCTATCTGTCATACAATTATTGATATGAAAGGGTTTTCCATATACAGAGTCKGGAGCCACGAGTGTCTTGAACCTCCTTCTGTTGCTTCTTCTGCCATCATGATTATTTCTCAAATGCTGGTTCCTGCACCAGTAAGTCTGGGCAGTACTGCTAACATAGGAGAACTTGATTCTTGTTGTTCCTTTTGCATTGAATGAAAGCCTCACCCGTTGGGGCCTTAAACATCATTGGAGATAAATTGCAATTATGAAAGAAGTAGTTATTCCAGTTTCTATCTAACATTAAACTCTGAAATAGCCCATACTGTCTGTTTTCCTAAGGTTTTTAATCCAATATTAATCCAGATATWTAATTCATGTTCAATAACCATATAACTATTTAACATAAAATAAAGAAATGTGACCCTATGAGGCTCTTTATTCCCTTCACATTTTGAAGAAATAAAATAATTCTGGTAATAAATGGATACCTCTGTACCAAATAGAAGAGAGAAAACACACCATTTATTATTGAGTAAACATTAACAGATTTACATAGATGTAAGGAAGGACAAAAGAACTATACACTTGGGACAAAATCACACATACCTTATATATCACAGTAGAATAACAACTTCTCATATCCTCAGTAGTTGAGGGTGCAGCTTTAGATAACCTCCTGTAGATGTTGAGAAAATTCTGAACAAGTGTTAGAGGTGCATGTAATCACATCCAGAGGTTATTTGGCCTATGACTTGGGAGATATGTCTGTATTGTAAATTGCAAACTGTCAGGGTCTCTGGCTCAGTAATCCCTTTAGGTCATGCAGAACATAGATTGAACATGGCAAATAAAAAGAAAGTTAGCAAGAATTATTTATTGCCTGGATTTACATAGCAAGGTGGCTATCCCATATTTAGAGTAACAAGGAATTCAAAGGCTGAAATCTTATACATTTTGAGTAAGAGATTGATTAACTATTCTTAAGCTATATGGAAATCTCTCATGGAGTTTATGCCAATTTCCACAAGATCAAAAATGTGCCTAGAGTAGGTTGTTCCTCAGCTGTAGAGCACTTGGGTAGCATGAGTGAGGCTCTGGGTCAATTCTCAGCACCACATATAAATAAATGAAAAAAATAAAAGTGCACCAACATCTAAAAAAAAAGTAAAAAAAAAAAATAAAGAATAAAAATCTACCTAAAATTGTTATGTCTACCCCTGAGCAGATGTAGCCACATATAAACGTCTTTAAATGAGTGTATCCTTTACTTTGGGGCAAGCAGTTGTGATCAGATCTGCCTGGACAGATTTGGTGCTCTCTTGTTGCTTGTCTTAAATAATTAATGTGGTTGGGGAAAAAGTCCTTCTGCCACTYATAGAACTTGCACTTCTTTTCTTTCAACAATCTCCACCTTTAAATTTATTCCCATACTCCTGTCTGAGCATCCCAACTGGAATCCCAGCTACTTGGGTGGCTGAGACAAGATCGCAAAYTCCAGGCCTGCTTGGGCAATTTAGTCAAACTCTGTCTCCCCCCCCCATAAAATAAATAAATAAATTTGTGGATTAGGATTTGCCTAGAAAACATGTGCCAAGCCTTGGGCTCAATCCCCAGTACACCCCTATCCTTTAAAGGAAAAAAATGGAAACCAGCTTTAATTCCTACAACATTTCTTCTTCATTTCAATGGTAAAGAAATACTTAAGCTATTTTTACACGAAAATTTTCTAAGATTGGAGGAAAGGAAAATAATATTTTTTCTTTTATTAATGAAGTTGTCATTGCCATGTCCACTTATATATTTCCATCGGATCATTCTCATTTATAGTTGGTATTCAATCCTTCATAGAATTCAGTGCTCTTTTCTGAACATTTATGAAGCCCAGGTGCTTTCATTTCACTCTTTGAGGAGCCTCTAGAGGAGGAATTCTTAACTCATTGTTGTGTCATGGATTTATATTCATGTCGGATGGACCTTTTGGATCCCTTCCTGGAATGTCTTATAAAGTTTCAGAGGATTATACATGGAATTACAAAGGAAGTGATCACCAAGGTAGTGCAACATTAACATATTTAAACCTAATCAACCCATATGTTCAAGAATTACTAGTGCGGCTGTGATGGGTTCAGATGCTATTTTAGGATATCTAGGATATTGACAGCTGGAATGTGATGTGATTAGTAGCACATATCCTGTCAATTCTATTGTTCTCAAATGAAGAAAATGGTAAAGTGTAATTGGAGGATAGTAAAAATAAGATGAATTTTTTTTTTCTCTATTTCCACTCCTGATCCTGTAATTCAGTAGCCATTACATAGTTTTCTTTTTCCAGTAGGCTTGCATGCTAAAGAGCCCTGCTTAGGTTTCCAGACTCCATAAGTCAATGAAAATCATTTAAGAAGGTTAAACAATAAAGAAGTGCATTGATTCAAATTGTCTTTAAACCACCTTATAAGGAATAACAGCATGTTTCATTTTGTTGGGCAAGTGTCAAGGTTTGTTTGTAGAAAATATGTGAGTGTATACACACACACTCACATTGCACTTCTATGTTCTAGGTTGCCTCAGGGTCTCTGGGTCGGTTCCTGTGAGCCAGAGACAAATATGCAGAAGGGCGGGTACCGACTGGAGTTCCCGCCCCTGCTCTTGTGGTTTTCAAACAGGTCCGCTAGGTTATTATAAAAGCCTTCTGGTGGCTAGGAGAGCTTATTGTGCTGAGAATCCGACTCTCCTTACAACCATGTCTGGTCGTGGCAAGGGAGGCAAAGGCCTGGGCAAGGGCGGCGCCAAGCGCCACCGCAAGGTSCTGCGSGACAACATCCAGGGCATCACCAAGCCCGCCATCCGCCGCCTGGCCCGCCGTGGCGGCGTCAAGCGCATCTCCGGGCTCATCTACGAGGAGACCCGCGGCGTGCTCAAGGTGTTCCTGGAGAACGTGATCCGCGACGCCGTCACCTACACGGAGCACGCCAAGCGCAAGACGGTCACGGCCATGGACGTGGTCTACGCGCTCAAGCGCCAGGGCCGCACCCTCTACGGYTTCGGCGGCTGAGCCGTGGTATTGTCCCTGCAGTCGCTTTTATTTCTCTTCAAAGGCCCTTTTCAGGGCCACCCATCCTCTCACTCGAAAGGGTTGCTTTACTGTTTTTTCTTGCGTCTTATGGCATTTTGATGATTTCAGCGGAAGGGTTTTTGTTCCGTGGTTATAGTGTTTTCAACAACTTGGTGTTTTTGGGTGCAGATTGTCGGGAGTAGTCCGCAATGAAGTATTTTCATGGGGAGCCCTTTTTAAAAGATAAGGGAGTAATCCCCAGTGTGAGTACACTGTGGGTGAGCACTGTTTCACATGATGTATTTGATGCATTTTAACCATCTTGCTTTTCATTCCACACCATGTTTGAGGCACAAAGCGATATTTCTACTGTAAGCTTTCTGCAGTGTGCCTTGTCAGCTACAGTACTGTTTTTTTCCAGTGGGTTTTACTCCGTAAGAAGTCTTGTACTGCTATGTAGATGACAAGAGCTTTTCTTGGGAGCTTGTGTCACATTGTAGGAAGTATTTGAGGCCCTGTTTCATGCTACAGATGAGATTTTATAGTCTGGGTATTGTTGCYTCTTAGAACAGTAGCTCTTTTTTGTTGGGGATTGAACCTGAGGGTTTGTGACAAGCACTCTACCAACTCAGCTATATCCCCAGCCTCCARCAGTATTTCTTAATATATGAATCAAAAACTGCTGAAAAGAATGTGTTTAAGAATATATGTAGGGACATACACATTTCATGAGCTTTTATCCTTTTAGGGTCCCAAGGGCGTCCCAGAGCACCATGGATTTCCTGACCACAACCTGCGTTCTAGGATGTTAGGGCCTGAGATCTGGGGGCTCAAATTTTAAGGATAGACAGATAAGGGGAGACATAATATTGGAGAACACCTTGAATAAGTGTTTATTTTGTCATCATTTCTTCTCTGAGTATGGAAGCTCTACATATTCTTGAGTAGTTAGATCAACTCTTTAATAGTGTTATATTTCAGAATGCACGATTATCCATTCTGAAAGAATTAAATTCTCAGAGACCTGAGAGACTAAACTGAATCTCACAATATTATTTTTAGTCTTATTATGAAAGAAGACTTTGAAATACATTTTATCATGAGGCCCTTTGATTTTTCTTCTATCGATTTATTATTTTAATAAATGTATTTACTAAGGCTTATATTTAGTAGTCTGTGATTAAGCATAATCATACGTTTACAGGAAACAGTCTCAATACCCTTTGAGGTTTGGGAAACAGTCCTGAAAAGTGCTTTTAATGTGTCTTTGTTCAGGTTTCTTGACCTCTCTGAGCCTTTTAACTATGTATGAATAAGAATACTATCTGTCTTATAGGCTTGATACTGAGTAAAATAAAATTATTTGTCTAGCCTTTTGACCAGTGCATGGGTCATGATAAACATGATGTTTGGTTATCACTGTTATTCTATAACTGTTTCATTTCTCATGACATTTGAGAGGCATGCAGAAAAAGAAATTGGCATTTGAACCATAAAGATATGTACTGGTGTTTTTTATCTTTGTGGTCTGTAATAATTTGCTAGCCACTGTTGATCCTGAGTCCATAATTTAGGAGACCTTTTAGGTTGAGTCAAGCCCCTTTCTCTTTTGCCCTGTCATCTGCCTTGAGATGATATAGCAGCAGATGGCCCTCCACCAGATTTTAATTCCTAGCCTGTAGACCTGAGAGAAATAGCTTTCTGTTCATTATCAATTACTTAGTCTCAGTTACTCTGTTTCACAGAGTAAGACAAATAAAGGGCTCAGTAAATTCACTCACTTGTTTCTTCATCCATATAAGCCAGTTCATCAATTATTTCAGTTTTCTTCTGAATCTAACTAATAATTTTACCATGATTATTTGAAATAACCTCTCATTTTTTTTCTGGTTTCTTGCTACTTTAAATTTTATAAAATCCATTTTTCCACATAGCAACTTAAAAAGTGTTTAAAATTCCAATTGTGCTATCACAAAATAAATAAGCCTTCTTTTTGCATATTTGTTTCCCTCATGAGCAGGTGTTTATTTCACTCACTTTCTCATAATTTTGATTAGAGATGGCCAGCACATAAGCCTTTTATTTCTTAGGCACAAATTCCTTTCTACTTTTAGACTTTTTGTACCAACAGTTACATTATTCCAGAATTTTTACTTCCTAGAGTTTTGGTTCCTTTCTCTAAAGTGTTACCTAATCACAGTCATGGCCCTTGGTTTTATTTTATTTCTTCATAGAACTTTATTTGAATGGCTTTGCTCAGCTGTCAACATGTTTACCATTTCTTTTCTCTGGGGACTAAGCTAGTCATCCCAGGAGAGCTGGCTTTTGTATGTCTTCCTTGATGCTGAATCTCAACACTTAGTACAGAGAAATTTCAACAAAAACTGGGAAAAATAATTAATGGGAACTCTTGGATTGCTCTCCGATTTGTGTCCTGTATCCACTGCTTTAGTACTGCTGCTCTTTCTTTGGTTTGAACAGTTATCTTCTTTCACCAATATTATTTCTCTCCAATTCATCCAGGATCCTGCTACTGGAAGCAAGCTGATCATGTGTTCTCTGCTCAGGAGCTTTCAATAACATTTTATTTTCTGAAAAGTCAATCTAAGCTTCATTGTTTGACATGTAGACTTTTGCACTATTTATTTATTTTCCATACTGGGGATTGAACTCATGGTGCTCTACCATGGACCTACATCCCAGCCCTTTTTATTTTGTATTTTGGAACACAGTCTAGCTAAGTTGCTTACAGCCTTGCTAACTTTCTGAGAGTAGCCTTGGAGACCATAATCTCCAAGAATATGATAATTTAGCTGAGATGGGAATTTTTGATCAATCAACTAATGTCTTTGTTGGGGAGGTTTGTCCAGGGGACAATTGGACAAAGAAAATTGCAAAGCTTGAAGAAATCATTGGGAATTTCAAAATCTGGAAAAAAGATAAAGAAATGAGAAAAATGAGAAACAAAAAGCAGAAAATTAATATTCCGAGGTTGGGTTACATATTTAGATGAGAACACACTTTGCAGAGCTGGAGGCCACAGCAGTGTTCTGATTTTGTGCTGAGAGCACAGAGGCTTAGGGTATGGGTGATACATGGTCAGGTGTGTTTTTAAAATGAGGTCTGAGTCTGTAATGAAAATTGGATTCACCATTGGCCAGGAATTTTCAGTATCAGTATCATCTGAAACTACACCTTTAGTGAGTACAGTGGAAATGCAGTTGCAATTTAGTAACTTTAACATACTTGTTTCTCTCTTTACATTTATTTTTTCTTGAAAGAACAAAAGCTAGGCTAGCAAACTGGCTGGGAAGGCTGGCTAGGAGTGTTTCTCAAGGACCCTCTGTAGGTAGTGATAGTAGTCTAGAGTGGATGTAGCATTTCCACTTATGAATAAAAAGCTCCCAGCAAAACTTTTCTAGCCTACTTCCCCCATGACAGCTTCTACCCTACAGTGACTTGAGAAGTGAGGAAGGGAAGCTCAGCTGTTTATTACCTGGAATTTAGTCTGTTGGACATTAAGTGATTGCAGGTTTGTAGACTTGCAGACCTCAAGGTCCAGCAAATGCATGTTAAGGTACACCTTACTGTGGGATGTAGCTCTGGTAGAGCACATGCATTCAGCTCTCAGGTTGCAATTTAGGTTCAGTCCCCAGTAATCCCCATCAAAAAAGAGAAAGAACAAGAATATTTCCACAATTATTATTTTCACACTATGACCTGTGGCAGTCCCTTCATCCCTCCTATTCACAATTACATAGGTCAGACTGAAAAGGGGGAGACTCTTGCAAGTAGAGGTGGTTTGAAGACTCTGAAGTGAATCCAATATCCTTTGCCACTCTAATGAGGAAACTGAGGTATCTGAATACTGAGATTTTTATTTCTTCATGCCTGGTTTGTTAATCACAGCAGGGAAGGCAAAGGTACTGATTGCTGTCCCCCAAATTCAAGTTAGCACTTGAACCAAAAAGCAAAAAACTGACATCACAGGCAGAATAGAGCAGCAAAGGACAGGAAGGAAGACAAGAGCAAGGGGCCGACATGGGGGAGCTTGCACTTGTGCCATAGATGTTCAAATTGTCTCATATTAGATGACCAAGTTTCATGAAGAGCTGAAGGGCACCCATATACTGCCTAAGTGAATTTAAGGGCTCACCTCATTTTCAGGAAGAGCTTCTGCAACAGTCACGCATACAATAACACCCTGAAATCGCAGCTGGTAGACATGCCACCCAAGAGGCTGCAGTTATTAAGATCTAATTATGAAAGTTGCCAGGAACAAACTCTACATTTGTGCACAACTCATTCGAGAACTGTTGAGTGGCTCTGAAAAGAGCCTTTGGGTTTAATAAACGCATTGGCACGACCGATTACTTGGAGCTGGTGTACTTGGTGACCGCCTTGGTGCCCTCGGACACGGCGTGCTTGGCCAGCTCCCCGGGCAGCAGCAGGCGCACCGCCGTCTGGATCTCCCGGGACGTGATGGTCGAGCGCTTGTTGTAGTGCGCCAGGCGCGAGGCCTCGCCNAAGACAGGAGTTCTGATCAAGCTGCAAACTTTTATTGTTCACACAGGGGTATTTATGGGCTGGGGATGGGGGAGCTCTCTTATGGGCAGTTGCTGTATGTCTTCACAAGGTGAGATAGCGTAGGATGTTTCAGGAAGACAGATGGCCGCAGGATGTCTCAGGGAGATGGAKGGCTGCAGGGTGTCTCCCAGGCGAGATGTCTCCCAGGGGAGCTGTTTCTTGTAACTGTCAGGCTATTCTTTGAAGGAGAACTCCCTTTTGGTCCCTGGCAGGAGATAAACAAACCAGTTAGAGTTTTCTAGGTTAAATATCATTATCAGAAGATTCTGAGTTCTGAGAACTAATGTCTGCGCCTTGGGGAAGACAATTCTAGGCTTTTAAATAGAACTAAGATACTTAGCATTAAGCGAACACTCTGAAAGCATAAGATGGAGGGGAAAAAAAACA